TACACTCTCGGCGCTCTCATTGGTGAGAACAAAGCCCAAACTCAGAATGGAGCATAATTATTGTTTTTATGAAAGAGAACAAACGGTTTCATAATTATAATACGCAAGGGTAGAATACATGACGATAGAATCCCACTTGTGACTCCACTTTGGTGTCAGAAGTGGGGTCAGTCAGTCATTGCAATGCACACTGCAAGCAATACACACAGTAATAAATCCATTCTTGTTCGGATGCGTATTTCTCTCCTTAGCTGGGGCTGCACAAAATAAACGGCTCCCGCATTATAACACACAAGTGCAGAAAACATGAGTGTAGCCTCCCACTTCTGATTCCATAGGGGTGGTGGTGGTGGTGGGGGGGCATTCAACCATTGCAGTGCAAATTACAACAATAAATAGTTACTCCCGAAATTGGTGTCACACATAGGATCCACATATGCAGCAACAAAAGTACATAATTCTGATACATACGTGTCGAATCTCATACTGAGAGTGGTGTCATAAATTGGATCAGTTAGCCATTGGATTGCAAAGTACTCAAGTCAGTTAGGGTCACTCACCAAATTGGTGTTAGAAGTGGGGTCCGTCTCTGCTGCAAACACACAGGTGAGCAATATTATCTCTGTAAAAGCAGCCATACAACTCCATACTTATGATTTGGGAAATCGGATGCCAGTGTCAGAAGTGTGGTCATCTGGTGTCAGAAGATGGATCTTTTTTTTTTTTTTTTTTTTTTTTTTTTTTAAATAAAATGACGTGTGTTTTTTCAGCTATGTATGAGCATAAGATCTTCATCCAGGGCTTGATGTGGGAGATTAACAGCTTTGACCAGTGGGGGTGAGGCACTTTTTTTTTTTACTTCACTGTCACATTTTCAAAGGTAATTCCATGTGATTTTATTATTAACCCTTATAATTATGTATTCCTAATCATATGTTGTATGTTACTAGCGTGGAACTGGGCAAGCAGCTGGCAAAGAAGATTGAGCCTGAGCTGCAAGACGCCGCCGAGGTGCACTCCCATGACGCGTCCACTAACGGACTCATCAACTTCCTCAAAAACAACTTCGCCTGAGATTTCTGCTCTCCTCGTCATTTTCAAAACTGTTATTGATCTCAATTTCCATGTGAAGAACCACTGTGCATGTTTGTACAATGTATAAAAGAAAATAAAAGATTATCTTCTTTTACACTGCCAAACGAGGCACCGTATGCTGCTGTGTATTTTTTATTATTTTGTTTTCGTTTGGCACGATCACAAATCAGCACAAATTCACTTGATTTCCATCAAAAAAGCTCTTTGGGCATTTGGCAGTTTAACGCGTTGCAGTTCGTTCATTTTTACTATATTCAATATTAAAATAGCAGCAAACCATATCAAGTCATACCTTAGGACCCGATGAGATTGTTGTACATCGCCACATATTTTATCAATATACGCTTATGTGGTAGCACACACAAATACATATCCATATATACACGGTAATTCCTTGCTATAGCAAGGTTCATCTTTCACGGCTTCACTGTTTCACAGAATGGATTTTTTTTTGGTGCTGTTTTTTTTTTCACCAAATTTTCTCCATGACAAAATCCACAATGTCGCCGAAACGTTCTGTACAATAGTTCTAAAAACTGTCCGTAAAATATTGATATATATTATTTTGTTTTTAAATATTTTGGCCTGAAAAAAAGGTTTAATTCAATTCAGTATTTTACTGTATGTGTAATAATTATAAAAAAATAAAGATGAATACTTCACGGATTTCACTTATCACAGGTTCTTTTTGTATGTACAGTATATGTACACTCACACACACACACACACACACACACACACACACACACACACACACACACTCACACGCACATATACTCACACGCACACATACACAAACACTAGGTGGCAGGAGAGCACCGGTTGCACTTCTGCTGATGACAATAAAACAGTCAGCAGTTCATTTCATGGGACTCGGAAACCTAGCCGAATGATTTATACCAGGAAAGTAATTGAATATATTATAATTATTAAGAGCTATTATTGAGAACTCATATTCCAATACTTCCAACCGTTTCACTCCTTCCACGTTCAGAGTCGATTTAAAAAAAAGCTCAACTTGAAAGTGTTACATTTGCTCTCCGTGCGAGGGTCTTCTCCGGGTACTCTTGTTTCCTCCCACATTCCAAAAACATCCATGGCAGGCTGACTGAAGACTCGAAATGTGTGATTGTGAGCGCCAATGGTTGTTCGTCTATGTGTGCCCTGCGATTGGCTGGCAACCGGTTCAGGGCGTCCCCCGCCTACTGCCTGAAGACGGCCGGGATCGGCTCCAGCACCCCCCCCCACCCCCCCGCGACCCTTGTGAGGATAAAGCTGATCAGAAAATGGATGGATATTCGATGTTTGGATGCACCTCAATCACCACGTGTCGGGAAATCATGCAGGTGTACCAAATAAACTGCCTAGGTGTGTTTTTTTTTTTTTATCCTGCAGTTGTTGAGGATAGCCTATGTGAGGACAATCAGTGAGGAAAAAACGAAACAAAACAAAAAAAAGAACAAGGTGTTACAGTATCTGCTGGTGTTTTTTATTTTTTTCCAGTGTGGTTGCCAGGCAACAATACTGAATCCTAACTTGTGTGCCTCGGGGAAACAACTTAACACTTGTTACGGTCTCTATATTTAGGTGATCGTTTTGTACATTTCTTTGTCATTTTGCAGCAGGTTGTTTACTCTTCTAAATTTATTTATTTTTTTTACTGAATTTTACTTTTGTAAATTGGTGTTTGAGTGACTTTCTTTTGACATTTTCAAATGTATTTTTATGATTTTGTTGTTGCTGTTCTTTTTTTTAGAATTTCACATATATTTTTTAGTATTTGTTGTTTTAAATCGCGCTCTCTTTTTAATTTTACATATTCTTTGTAGTATTTTATCATTTCACATTTTTTACTTTGTAATTTGTCTTCTTTATGTAACTTTGTCTTCTTTATGTAACTAAGTTTATGTAATTTGTGCTTTTTGTATTTTTTATTGTGTTTTTACTTTTGTGCATCCATTTTTCCTTGTTGAAAATATATATTTTTTCCAAGATTTGTTTTTACTTCTTTGCACATTACTTTTTTCTCTTTGTATATATTTTTAAAATGTGTCTTTAACCTTTGTGCATTTTTCTTCCTGTTTTCTAAATTTGTCTTTTACTTTTTAATGTTGATTTTGTAAAATTTATTGTAGTTTCACTTTCAGGTAAATTTCTTATTGAAGACTTTGTTACTTTTTGTAAATAGGGTTTTGCTAGTTTATATTTTTTGTCCATTAAAAAATGAAAAATTCAAATTCAGTTTGGTCGTCTTTTATTTTCTGTAGATTATTTTTGATAAATTACCGTTTGCTTCTTCATACACGTTTGGCCCAATGGCATTGTTGAATGGTGCTGAGTGTCCGCTGCAGGTGCGCACCAGGAAGTCAGTTGCTCGACTGGGTCTGGAGTGGACAGCTTTGAAAAAAGTTCCTCTGTGTGTGTGTGTGTGTGTGTGGGTGTGTGTGTGTGTGTGCGTTCCTGAGATGTTTGCTCAACAATGCCACCGCGTAGCCTCACATTCCTCTCTCCCTCTTTATTACACAGAGACCTGGAGGCTGTCACTGGTTTCCGTGGCGACAGCGCCCCCTCGACTCCCCCCCACCCCCCGCCCCCATCCCAAGTTCAAATCTTGCCGAAAAGGAGGGCGTTTTCGGGGTAACTCAGGGAAAGTTGCCGCAACGTTCCCCCCAGAGTGAAAGCTCCCATGCAGGCCTGGAAAAACAAGGACACCGGACTGGTTTTTCCCACGACTCATGCGACTATATAAAGACCAAGGTCCCAAGGGTACTCCTTCCTGACCGACCCCGACGTTCGCTCCGATGCTCCCTCCCCTCTGTGGCAGAATTCCACATGATGGCTCCCACGTCACTCACTGGAGGTCTTTCCAAGCATCTGGAAGCACGAAACTGTTACTATCAATGCATTCACGACAGTAAGAAGTAAACATCAAATTGGCCCAAGGCTCTCCATGCCCGTCATGGACAAACTGCAAAGTTACAAAATAAAACATTTCGATTTTTTTTTTTTTTACATTAAAATTACTTTTTTTTTTTTGTAAATGTATTTTTGCTTTTGTAACTTTTTGTGTTCCCACTTTCACTTATTTTTACAATTTTGTCATTTTTCAAAATTTCTTATTTTTACAATCACGCATTTTTAGACGTCATATTTGGTTGAGAGAGAGAGCGAGAGAGCGAGAGAGAGAGAGAGAGAGAGAGAGAGAGAGAGAGAGAGAGAGAGAGAGAGGAAGGTAGTCTTTTGTACATTGTAACAGAGCTCACCTCTCAAACTCAAACATACACACACACTCACACACACACTTATAAAGGATGCTTTGTGCCATAAATGGCCCAACTGTCAACCAACACCAGAGCGCTACCCAAATGTTGGGCCCAAGTAGAGGGCACACTGCAATGCACTATGCTGGCTCACACACACACACACACACACACACACACACACACACACACACACACACACACACACACACACACAGGCGCACCTTGTGGAGCTGAAATGAGAGAGCGAGACGAAGGGGGTGTGTTGTTGTGCTGATGTTGAACGTTCCCTTGTGGGGCAACGTACAAAGAGAAAATGTGTCCACGTTACACAAACCTTTCTGTCTTGCTTTGCTTTTTCTTTGCCTTGTGTTTTGAGTGAACAGCTGCAACCAGCTCCATTCATTTGTTACTCCCATCATTTTTTTGCTGTTCTTTCCTTTTGATGTTTGCTACATTTGCTCTATTTTGTAAATTGTTTTTTAATTTTGTCAACTTTTGTCAATGTGGTGTCATGGTGGAGACATCTGTGCGACTTTAGTTCATGACCACTTCGGTCTTCAAACTTTGCGTCACAATTCATCCACCAGAACAAGAACCCTCCGGATTTCAACCATCTCAACAACAAGAGTCTGAATGTTGCAGTTAGCTACAAAACCACTTTATTGAATAGCAGATTATGTCCTCTACAGTTAAAACGATACATCCTGACTTCTTTTTAATACATTAAATAATTTGTCTCTCTCCATGTTTAGATAAATAGCTCTAGTCTTTTTTTTTCGTATGAACCATCTAGGTAATAATAATAATCATCATCATTGAGATAAAAAAAAAAAAAGATCATGTGACATGTGCTTTGTGGCAACTAACCAGTCGGAGGAGGAGCCGTCCGTCCTCTCCTCTCTTTCCGAGAGAACAAAAATACAAAACTAGACTCTTTATGTACAAGGGATGCTAGGCGTGTGCTAGTATTTTGTTTGAAAACATAACAATCATCATTATAATAATAATAATAACTATAATAATAATAAAGGTGAATGAACGTAAGGCGATGCTGGGAATGTCGGGTAGAAACAATCATTTGCGTTACATTCGCGTCATGATAAGTTAGTTGTGGTCAGTGTGTTGTTCATGGACACATTCTACTCAGTAGTATTGAGCGGGAACAAGATGGTGTCTGTCTCCACCATCCTGCACCTGAGAGGCGGAGCCAAGGTGAACTTTGGCCAATCAGAGCCAAAGAGCTCATGGACAAGCGTGTACAGTACAGAATGTCCCCATTTTGTGTGGGTTTTAGTCAACAGTGCCAAATGACATGGGAATGGATTTCTGTTGCCTCCGCCAAGGAAGCTATCTTCAAAGTCCTGTCTTTACATTTTTTTTTACCCCCTTTCATGAATGATGACACGTTCCGAAGCTCAGATCCAAAGCATGCCACATCAGTGGGTATCTACAGTATCTGTCCAATCTGATTTGTTTATGGCTTCACAGGTACTATGATGTCAAACCCAGTTTGGCTGCAATGTGAACTCAACATTCTGGTCAAATCTCAGAATTGTGCTTTTTATTTCCAATTGCATTACAAGCCTTGGCGGAGGTCTTGGTGAAAAACGGACATTGGTGTTTTTTTTTTAGGGTGCTGCTGCGCTGCCCCCACAATCACAGCCAGGTGCAGATCAAGGTGGTCCTGCCACCGGTGCACCAACTCGGCCAAAAAAACAGCAAGGTTGGGAAAAGTGCCAATCAAAACAGACAACTTGACACTCGTTAGCGCCAGCCAACGGAAGTGGCGGAAACGACTCCTTTGGAAAAAATCGGGCGGGACCAGCAGCTCCGAGTTTTCAAAGACGTTGACAAACCACATCTTTCAGTCTTGCGCTGAAATGACACAAGGACAGCAACAATTTACACCCTCTCTATATATGTGTGTGTGTGTGTGTGTGTGTGTGTGTGTGTGTGTGTGTGTGTGTGTGTGTGTGTGTATATCTATCTATCTATGTGTGTCCAGCATTTTCCTCTTTCCGCATTAAAACAGTGAATCTCTGGAGGTCTTATCTAAAGATGTCTACGCGGAATGTCAGTGTAAACGGAAAGGGTTGCCACGGGCGAAGTTGGGGTGGTGGGCACTAGCTCAGTGTTAGCAGCCACACGGACACCCCTCTCTAAAGGCACAACACAGCCGCATTGGGATATTCCCCTCCGGCCAGCGATGGCCCCTCTGGGCGACAGTTATTTATTCGAAAGAAAGGGTTGGGGGACACCATTGGGAGGGGGGTTGAGCAGCAAAGTAAGTCCATCACGCTATGGAAGCTTTATCCAGTAGGTGGGTAAGATCTCCCCATCTCATACTAAGGTGACGGGCGATACCCGAGAGAATCTTAGCGGTCCAGCCAGGAGGGGGTCATAAGAATAAGAGTGGGTCATCAAGGGCAGAAAAAGAGGAAGACACTCAAGATGGATGCTGAGAAGGTGGGACAGGTGACAGGTGGGGGTTGGCTTTGCCTCCCACCCTCCCCTTCCCAGCTCAAAGCAGGTCGCTGGGAGACAGGCACGACATGGCCACACAAGGGCTGACTGGTCCAGCCAGCGGTGGCGAATCCACTACCCGGGCACTACACAAGGACACATCACCCCAACTGTGTATCCTGCATAGGTGGGGCAGGTTGGCATCTCGGCCCACGTGGGGAGGTACATGGGGGAGGGGGTTTGCAAGGCCCCCTTTTTCTCCCCTTCCCCTTCACAGCTCAGTGACGTGAAGCGGGTAGCTAGGGGGCGGGTGCCCCGGAACCTCAGACTGCAGTCGACGGATGTGGCAGCCGTGGCAGAGTAGGTGGCCGTCTAGAGGGTAACAGCGGTGACCCTCCTCATCATTTAGCTGGAGGCCACAGTCCTGGTGGAAACAACAACCAACCAGTTACAGATCAATAGAATAACCCCACTTGTAGCGGTTACCCTTAAAAGGGCCTTTGGCCACCGTCAAAAGGAACCTGGAATAGCAGATCCAAACTAATCTGGAGGCTTCGTGTGTCTTTTTTGTGGTTCTGCTCATGATAGACATGCCTACCAGATTATATGTTGCTGAGTGAATCGGGCCACAAGGGCAATATCTTCTTCCATTCCCACGTTTTTCCTTAAATTGTGGCCTTGCCTCTAATAACCACAATTAGTCACCATGTACATTATTCAAAATAAATGTCTCCCACATAAAGTTGGCTCCTTGTTCGCATCGTCAATAAAATGCACTATTGTTCAAAATTGGGTGTCAAGAAGGAACCATTGAGCCCATTTGAGACCTCACCTCACAGTGGTAACATTCCACATGGTAGTCCTTGTCCATCGAGACCACCCGAATGGTCTCCTCGGAGCCCTGATGGGAAAAACCCAGGCAGTTTTCAATGTTAAAATGACCACAATGTTAGCACTCGAGTCTGTTGCACATGTAAAGACTATTTATATTGTGGGTACCTGAGCTGGGAGAATGGGCTGGTTGCAGGAGGAACACTTGGGAGCAAAAACCCTGCAATGGAAAAGGACCACTGAGCAACATTGTCCGGTTATTCAAGTTAACAAAAACGAATGAAATAAACTAAACTTGAACAAAACATTGAAGTTGACAAAATAAAGTACATTGAAAATGCTTCTTAAAAAAATGAAAACTAATTCACAGTACGGTACATTTTACATTGATAAAAATAACCATCATTTTTGCCAAAAGGCCCTTTTTTTTGTTTGTTTTCGTTTTCATTTATCACTTTATTACATCATACTTAGTGACCTTTTTTTTTCATCTAGCACTCGACAAGCATTCCATATATTTATATATGTATATATGTATGTATATATATATATATATATATATATATATATATATAAGTATTTTTGAAACAATTAAAACTACCAAACTGGTTCTAATAACTCATTAAAAATAACTGAAATCGAAATTAAATCTATAATGAACAAAAATCACTATTATAACCCTGCAACATTGTTATTATTTAAAAAAAACAACAACATACGGATCGATAAAATCATCAGACTAAAAGCATTTTGCTGCAATTGCTGAATAAATATGACTACAAGTTGACGCAGTCAAACGCAAACCTCGGTGCCGTTCAAACTATGGCGAGAAGAGAGAAAAATGCCACCTTTTTCCAGGCAGCGTCAGTAGAGAGCAGAGAGCAATTCTTACGTGTGGTAGTCTTTGACACAGTAGATATTGTTCTCCACATCTACAGTGAAGGGCACCCCGTCCAGACCTTCTTTACACACCACACAGCGGAAGCAGCCTGGATGGTAGGACTTGCCCAGCGCCTGGAGGATCTTCATCACCACATAGGAAAGCACACGAGAAGTGGGACTGAAGCCATGGAAATCGAGGAGGGATAAAGGGCATGCGGCTGGACTGTGGGTGACGATCCCAACAACAACCACAGCGGAACCTCAAAAATGTTGGAAAAATTGGATGGTGTCTGACCATACTGTAAATAAGAAAAGATCTAAGAATTTCCTATCACAATTACCGTGACCAAAACGAACATGGCGTGAGGTATTGTCACAGTATTGCGAAAAGAAATGCTAATTTTAAAGCACGTAAGACCCCATAAAATGTACTTGGCTTATTTACTGATGACAAAGACAACAGTGATATACGTCGTGGTGGGCACACATAGCCGAGTGCAGCTCTTGTTTTATCTTCACGGGATCAGACAAAATATTAATTCATTCATTTTCTGATCCGCTTAATCCTCACAAGGGTCACGGGGGGTGCTGGAGCCTATCCCAGCCGTCTTCGGGCAGTCGGCGGGGGACACCCTGAACCGGTTGCCAGTCAATCGCAGGGCACACAGAGACGAACAACCATCCGCGCTCGCACTCACACCTAGGGACAATTTAGAGTGTTCAATCAGCCTGCCATGCATGTTTTTAGAATGTGGGAGGAAACCGGAGGACCCAGATAAAACCCACGCAGGCCCGGGGAGAACATGCAAACTCCACACAGGGAGGCCGGAGCTGGAATTGAACCTGGAATTGTACCTCTGCACTGTGAGGTCAAAGCGCTAACCACTGGACCACCGGGCGGCCTCCAGACAAAATATACTCTACTAAATCTGGTATTCCCAATAGAACTTCAAACAGTAATACAAACAGTTGAAAATCTTATCAGGGTCATCAGTGAACCGTAAAATGGTTTCATCCCGAATCCACTGTACTGGCGTCATTGCTAACGTTGGTTAGCTTACCATCTCCATGATGAGGTGGCCACACACAAAGCACTTCTCGGCCGTCTGCTGGAAACCTGAGTACTGTGGTAAGAAATCAGAGGCAAGACTTAGTGTCATCATTTTGGCTTTTTTGGGGGGTGGAGATGGGGGTGGTATAACTTCTTGTCACACCGTGGGCGAGGCTCCAATGATCTGGAGGGGCCCTATGTAGCCCATTACTGTGATAAAGACGTTCGCAGCCTTCGTAAAACATTTAATCGAGGAAATGTGTGCATCTCCACACTCTGGATGGACCATCTGTCATCAACCTCCACAAGGGGGGCAAGCTAATTAACCTCCTCAAGGGAGGTTAATTTCAGGAAAATCAGCGCGAATTGGATGGGTGTTCCCAAACTCTAATTGCAGTGTCCATATCTGGGTTTGAGTGTCTCGAGGGGATCAAGGACATTTGCTGATTTCTTTTTCAAATGATAAAACTATGAAAAATAAAGAGACGGTGAAATGCCAGCTTTTACAAGCAACGCGAAGAGGTTTCCTGTTATTACTCTACATCTAAATATTGAACATTACCGGGTTGACTTTGTACAAGTGACTTACCAAAAAGTCTTCCTCACAGTAGACCTTCCCGTTCACATTATAGAAGGCTTTCCCTCGCAACCTCCTCCCTAAGAAGAAAAAAAAAGAAATACAACGCATGAACAACATGAGTGTGAGACCTTGATTAAGTGACCAATAGAGGATGAACTCTGGATATGTTTTTGCGTTTTCTTTGGCAATTTTCCGTCCCCCCCCCCCGCCCTCTTTAAATTGAACACATTTTACTGAGTTACTTCACACGAAAACTTTTTTTTTTTTTTTTTTTACACACGCATATTTTAGGCACATATGCAAGTGCGTCTATTTTAAACAGTGGCCTTAAAGTGGCTCAAGCAGACAGCAGCAGGTCTGGTGCAGAGCAGATGGTCTGGCCCAAAGCAGGCCACATTGTGCCTCAACTTAATTACTCTGACCGCTGATCTCAATAGGAATCCATTCACGATCAATACAGCAGACTGCTCGACATCCCCCCACTGTCGTCCCGCCCGCCCAAAACACACCCAATCCGCCTCCTCTTCCGTGCATTGTGCGAGCCGCTCACAAACACGCCGAGAATAGCCAAACGGAGACAGGAAGTCCATCGTTGACACACGAAGGATGTTGGGAGGCTTTGAGGCCATTTTCAAAGTTTTGTGTGACCCCACCCCCCCCGAAAAGCCATTTACATCATGAGCATTTGTGCTTGAAATGCGTTTTTGGTTGCACCATGGCAACGTTGCGGTTAGCCTGACAAGAGATTCTGGGTTTCCATTTTGGTTCTTGTGGGCTGTAATACTGAACCACGGCCATTTTGGTTTAAGGAAGCTGTTTCAGCAGATTTAAAGGGACTCGTATTTTGACAAATTCTTACAAGGGAATTCGACCAAAGAAGCCCCAATTGAAAGCAGGTATCCAGGTGAGCTACACTAAATTATGATGCTTTTAGCTTCGACCATCAAATATGGTTGTCATAATTTGATGACTATTGAAAATGGCTCCTATGAAGGCCAATGGAAAGTAAGAAAAGAAATCAGTCCCCGGGACCAGTTACACAGATCGACACGAAATTTGGGCTGCATGTCAATTTTAACGGAGTGCATGAAAAAGTTTAAAGGACCCAAGTCTGACTTTGAGCTGGAAGTTGGCTATTTTGATTTGAAGCAGCCATTTTGGGTGAATTTTAGGGCTCATACTTTGACAACCTCTTACAAGCGATTAAGTTATTTTCTCATTCAAAACTTATTTGTTGACGGTAATGCAACGACGGCACGGGCAAAGAAAGGAAATCTGGAGAGGCATTTTAAAAAGATACACGGGAGATGCTATTAGGATGTTCCTACAAAAATGCTTCCCGCACGACAAATGTGCGTCCCTCCTAAGGTCTCCCACTAAGGTAGGCAATGATTTCCTTTTTTCAAACTCAGAGATCTGCCAGTCTTGTATCCGGTTTACTTTTTTGTTTCATTTTTGTTAGGGTCAGTTTTGGCAATTGCTTGTCATCATGCTGATTGAATTGTTCAATCTCGGGACCATGACTGCTTGAAAAGTAGATTTTGGGTGAAAAAAAAAGTTGGGCAGCCTGACCTAGGGGAACCACTTCGTAGAACTATATTATTTTATCATTGGTCATAAATATGAGTAAATTATTAAAATTCATGTCGTACTCTGAGGTTGAGCTAAATTCCCACGGCCAAGTCTTCATTCATGAGACCTGAGTCCGATCTCAAAGGGAAAATCTGCAACAGACTTCTTGTGCCCATGCCGCCCCTCCTGCATCTTTCAGGGCATGCCCCCCTTTTCAAATTCATTTAACACCCTCGCCGCATCTCTGCGGCAGCGTGATGACTTCACTCGAGCCTGGCGGTGGGGGGCGGGGATGAATGGGCAGTGTTGAGGATCGTAAATCTGCAGCGTTAGTCGAGATTTAATTGTTGTCCCGGGCCACCGTTGATTTAATGGCTAAAAAGGTCCTCTCATTTAACAGTGAAATTTATGCAATCGCTATATTTCAAACGTCACCGCGCCGCCGGGTGACGGTCATACGTTAACACCCACACAAATGGGCCGAGGAGCCCAGGAATGCTGCACACACAATAGGTGAGACTTTTAAGACGAGGCAGACTGAGGAGCAATTAGCATTTCTAGCCAGCGCAGAGGGAGGAAGCCACCCTCGCGTCCTCAAAAGGCCTAACCTTGCAGGAAGAGTGAGATTATAGGGAAGGGGGTGTGGGGGTTTGGCGTGGTGTTGCAAGGTTTCTGGGAGTCTGGGAGGTGGACACAAAAGGGCCCCGGCGTTGACGCGGGCCGACTGAGCAAACGGGGACATTCCTTCTGCCTGAGGTCACTAGCTGGACCCATTCAAACCCGCCCCCGAACGAGGGTGGGGGAAGGTGAGGTGGGAAGTGAGGGGGGTGGGGGGGGGTCCCCTCCATGCCCACTAGCTCTCCTCCAGCCTTTTGTCAGGAGACAAACCCGGCAGAGGCGCAAAGAACCAGCTGCATTTTCTGCAATCCGGCAGTTTTGGGACAACCAAAGTGTTAAATAAAGTGGAACCACTAAGGCTGGGGTGCGCAAAGCGAGGCCTAGTGGGCATTTTTGCCAACATCGTCTTATGTGGGCTGGGCTGAGCATCGCATCAAAGTTTGATGACCATTTCCAGGGGGCAGAGGGTGCGTTTATAGCTGTCTGAAGCTTTCAAAGACTATGGAATCAGTAGGGGTGAGAGAGTACAGACACCAGGTATCACTATCGGGTCCATACCAGCGTGTGTTTTCTTCTTATTTTATTTTTTAAGATATCAGGTACTCGTACAGCCTGCCGATACCAGACACTGCTCACTAAGGCGAAATAAATAAATCAATTTGATGAGTAAATTCTCCTTGGCAGTAGTTGGCATATCCTCCTGGAGATTGACACATCAGCAACTCATCATTTGTATCAGCACAAAAGGTCTTTTCACAATTTTTTCCCCATTGTGTTAAATGAAATCTAAATCGAAATTACTAGAGGTATCGATATTCGAAATCACTGAATACTCCAAGAGTGAAAACCGGTCGCATCATGTGTCTTTTTCAACATCATTTATCCCTTGCAGGATGGCCCGGTGCCTACCCCAGCTGATTATGGGCGGAAGGCGGACTACACCGTGAACTGGTCGCCAGCCAGTCTCGGGGCACTCACTGAGACAAACAGCCAATCGCACACACATACACACCGTCACAGAGCGGGAACCGATCCCACGCTGCCTGCACACAAGTAAGGCGAGTGTACCACTACGACATCAGCGTACTGGTATCAGTCAAAAAGAAAAGTTGTAACGAACCCGATGCTCGAGGTTTCGAGGTTACAAGCAGTGCACAACAGTGAAGTAGTTTGTGCAGCTCCGTAAGAATATGTCGGCCCTCCAAGGCATGCTCAATTACCGCTGTACTTGTTTCTACATGTTTTCCCACTTGATAGTTACATATTTATGGCCTAGATGTGTTTTTTTTTTATACAAATATTTACCGTTATCGTGACCTAACTACTGCGCTGGCTTCGGTTAGTGATCGACTGCAGCACATTTATATTTTGACTTGTGCGCGTATTCAATCGCTGCCATCGGAACGGAGGACTAATTAATTGCATTAAGGAAGTGTAGCCAGTACATTTAATACTGTAGAACAGGGGTGTCAAACTCATTTTTTGTTGCGGGCCACTTCGGAGTTACGGCTTCCCTCGAAGGGCCGTTGCAAATTCTCAACGTTATTTATTACCCATGACAATTTGGTACAGATTTCAGCAAGAATCATGAAAGTTGACACACATGATTTGCTCCTGCGGGCCACTTAAAATGACGTGGGAGGGCCGGATCTGGCCCCCGGGCCTTGACTTTGACACCTGTGCTGTAGAATTAGACCCGAATGACGCACAGAATTTGGCGGTCACTTTTAAAAAGATACAAAAGAAATAACAATTGTCTGATTGTGTTTCATTGTTCATTTGAACAATTTGTACCTTGGCATGTCTGAGCCATTTTGACGAAAAGTCATCCATTAACACTTTAACTTCGCTTCCTCGGCAGACTGTACTTTACACCCTGAGTGATGCCCTCCCAGAGTTCTGACCACCAACTGTTGCCACACCCTTCAGGGGAAATGTCAAAACCAAACAACATTCCAGCCATGTCTTATCCAACGTTCCAATCAAGGGATAAGCGAGCTGAAACTGATAAATTTCTGGGAGGGGGGCAAAGACGAGAGCAGCGCTTCCGGACAATCGGATCAACGTGAACATGTGGTGACATGCGCAGTTCTATTTCATCCCTCCTGACCGCCAAAGGCGGTGGGTTCTTCAAACACTGGATGATCACTTATGTTGCGTGAAGAATGTGAGGGTCGGCTTCAGAAATGACCCAAAATGTTTTCATAGTTTTAATGATGATATGGCGTTATCAGCATTCCCAACCATATCTATTCCTGGCAGGCAGTGTTAGACAACCATAACCTGGTTTATATGAAGCGTTCAGATGAGCATCAGGTTAAAAGCCCCAAAACGTATTAAAAAAAATATCCCATATGAACACCTCATGCCAAATAAAGAGATGTCGTTTGACTGGAATTTAATCTGACTTCACACCAGGGGGTAGAAAAATCGTTTTGACAAACCAATCCAAACGTAATCTTTTTGTCATATAAACGGTGAATTGGAATGTCGTCGGACTGCTTTTTCTCTGCTATGCCTTGACAGCCACTTGGAAATATGGCGGCTTCCAAACAGAGCACACAGAACTCTTCTGCGACAGACGGGCTTCTTTTTATAAGTACAAACTCTCAAAGAGCTAAACGTGAACATATTCTGACACGGTAGGAAAACACGAAATACTGAACTAATTTGAATAAGTCTACTACCCCCCCAAAAAATTCTTGAAAAATCCGATGTCATTTACAAAGTTCTGCACATAACACAAGTCTGTAAAACTGCTGATTGGATTAAATGCCGTGGCACATGTAAAGAGGAGATCGGCATAGATCACACACTTGATTACGTTATCTCGAACTTCTAATGATATGCACGACTACAGCAGGAACAAAAGCATACAGAACGGAATGTGTCCTTCTTTCCCAGTTTCCTGTTTTGCCGCCGTCTGGCAGGTACAACTGTTGGGCTTTTTTCTACTTTTCTGAGGCCACTTTGTTGATTATAATTAGGACTGAGTCATCGTATGAGTGACTGACAGTCTGCTCACCCGGGGCCATGCGGAGAAGTCCCGTGGAAAATAATAATCCTCAAGTGTGTTAAATTTAACTCTTGCTTGGTCGCAGGATAGAAGGCCAAAGATAAACTGTGGACAAGACCTTGACCTTGACCGAACAAATTGTTGGTTCACTTTTTGCTGAGCGCGCACTCTTAGTCTTGTTCAAAAGAATTTACTGCCGCCACGTTCATCATGACAGGACACACAAAAAAAAATAGACTGAGGTAGTCACCGTTGGCCATTTTCATGATTGTACCTGAGCTGTTCCCCGGAGCAAAACTCACCTAATTACTACCAAATTCCAACCTGATAGAGAGAGTGGCACCTGGATTCAGGAGTTTAATTTGATCTGAGTATCCCATTACTCAAATTACTTGTATGTCAAATCCATTTATCCCATTAAAAAGGTATTGAAATTCCATTGATGCGATCCAGCACCCACCCCCCAAAAATTTTTTTTCCTGTCACATGGAATTTTTTTTTTGCATTAATTTAGCCATCTTTTGGGCATCCAAGTGAACTCACAGGCATGAAAGAATATTACGTATACCCTCACAAACACCGAATGGTTGAGAGATGGTCTGATGTAAACAAGATAAAGTACCTGCGTTTTATTCAACCCTACAACAGCTTTTCCATTCGCATTGTGGCAAATTTAACACCCCCCCCCCTTCTTTTTTTGCCTGTGAGAGCACATGCCAGAGCTTGGTACGCTCCCTGATCGTCTGATTGAGGTCCTCCGGGAAAGGTTGGCTCCAGTGGAGGAGGCGAGTTTTTTTTTTTTTTTTTTTTTTGCATTCTTGGCCATTTCATGAAAAAAGGGTGCAACCATGGGAGTGAGCCAAGAGGAGGGTTCAATTATGCATGGTTAAACAAAGCCCAAGCTGTCTGGGCAACAACAAAAATAAAAAGAAAGGCCAAAAACAAAACAAAACAACAACAAAAATGAATACAGTCACACGGACGAAGCTCCTGATTTATCGCTAAAGTGTGTTATGACAAGGCTGCTGCTGAAACGAAAACATTCCCATTGAACTTGAGGTCAAATGATACATCAGAAGAGTTTACATGAGCCATAAACCATCTGTGGAGAGAAAGGGCGGCCTGCCAAGCTTCAAACAAGCAGCATTTGCTAATGGGAGATGTGATTTCCCCCAATAGATGCAACCATATTTCTCACGTCGGATGCGACACGGTCCAAAAATCCCACAATCCCAGCAACCGGACACTCTTCCTCACACAATAAACAGGAAAGTATGCGGCTTTGGTTTCGTGTAAATTTATAGGGCCGCGCTTCCAGAGGCGGATCAGTATCCGTGTGCGGCGTACATATGAATGGGAGCAACCTGGCTAAAAGGCTTTCTCCCGACATCTTCCCCTGGTTTCCCCTGGAAACGGGAAGGGTGAAAGGGGGGGTGCTGGAGTCGGGTGACAGGAACCTCTATACCGCACAAACACACACTCTGCGCACTGTACTTGAACTGAATTGAGGATTTAATTACAGGCCCCAAAGACAAATAATGTCAGCGGAATTTCAGAAACCGGAGGAATTTCTAAAGCAGCCAGCCGGAGGGTAACGCTAATTAATTTTCAGGGGCGGAACAAAGAGTGAGTTGGCATTTTCCAAGTTGCTTTGAAAATGAGTGACAAGCTGCTAGCAGACTTTAATAAAATTGACAATGAGTTGATTTTAATCATCTACGGGTCGCTGAGTCATATCACGTGCAGAAAGCTTCAGCAGATCTTAGTGAGAAACTGAATTTTGGTATCTCTCTCTCTCTATATACAGTATTTTCATTTATTTATTTATTTTTAAAGAGACACACACACACACACACACACACACACACACACACACACACACACACACACACACACACACACAACACACACACACACACACACACACACATCTGTCTAGGCTGCTTATTTATTTCAATACAGTGAACCCCCGCTGAATTACGAATTATCAGAAAGACACGGCTCTGAAGCCGAACAAAACTTGGTCGGGCAAGATTTTAGTCAATCTTGCGAGACTTCAAATGGGGAGGAGGCAAAGTTTTGGCTCCAGCCTGCTCTGTTCTTTACTGGTGCGCGTTGTCCATTCACAACAACAATTCACTATTTAGAGCCGCAAAAGGCGCAATAATCGACCAGGATTCTTCTACCTTTGGCCACACTACAACAGGGGATTCTTGTTAAAAGGTAAGTCATTTTAAACTAAAAAGAAAAATGTTTCCGCAAATGCAACCAGAACTTATTCACTGCCATCAACACGAAGTGCACTTGGTGTGCGTGTGTGCGTGTGTGTGTGTGTGTGTGTGTGTGTGTGTGTGTGTGTGTGTGTGTGTGTGTGTGTGTGTGTGCGTTTGAAGAGACAGAACGCGCTCCCGTTCCAATAATTTACGAATGCAGCATATGTTATAAAGCAATCAGCGCCTTGTGCTTGACTGTTTCCTCATACTATGTGGCATTAGTCTCTGGCACTTTTTTTTTTTTTTTGGAGCACTCTAAAGAACCAAATGACACATTTGAACCAAGCTCTGACTTTCTGAACGGTCGGAATCGAGCACTGGGCGCTCACAGCGGATTTCCAAACGCACCCATGATTTGGAAATGGGGATTTTGGGGATGAGACCAATTTAAAGAAAAAAAAGCGATTCTATACGTTCATAAACACTAAATGATATTCGTAGCTTCTGTGAAGTATCCTGAGCAATGATTCTGCTCTGCGTCTAAGTGTGAACATGAAGAGACTTCACACACACTGCCATTTGAAATATGTATCAGGACGAGTGCATTGAAGCATGATCCATCAGTTACTATGGCAACCGCACATGTAGACGTGTTTGGTCACCATTGCAGCCGGTCAATTTAGTACCTTGCACCGCACTTTATTAGTATTATTGTACGATATTGTTTTTCCACTCACCACATGAGCAGCAGGTGAAGCAGTTGGTATGATAAAGATTCCCCATCGCCTGGCAGGCTTGGCTGGCGCCGTACACACCTTTGCCGCATTTAATGCAGATACCTGAAGAAAAGGAACACAGACGGGTTGATTTAATGACAAGTGTGCACATGTGAGCCCTGTGAAAATGTACATCAATGCCGTACGGTGTTCCCCGTTATTTTGCAGTTCGTGTTCACGTCCCCAAAAGTTGTATATTATGCTTTTTCCAATATCATGGAGTTTTTTTTTCTTCCAATTTTAAATTGTCATTGCCAAAATACATGATCTTATTTTAAGCATTTGACCATTCTACATACGGCACACACCAGACCTAGTTTCTGGATCGACTGGTGTAGTCAATATAGACATGGTCAGTACAGGTGAAGAAGACTAACAATAACTACAGAGCACATTGAACTTGTAATTTATATTATAAAAAAAAAAAAAAAAAAGTATTTTGAGGCAGCAGTAGATCCACAGGACAACCTAGCCTGAGGTCACATTCCTCAAGGAGTGCGGGGTCAAAGCCTGGTTGAGGTCAGTCCGGGGTCACGGTGTCGACAGAACGTGAGCTCGATTGGCTGCCACCCCTCCCTCCCCATGCAAGAAAAAAAAAATACAATCAGCGAATTATCTCTGAAATACTGCAGGATAGCAAAAATGCAGAGAATGGTTTGAACCTCTCAAGGCAAGGAAAAAGTGGCCCTCTTGCTACATTCTGACAGGCTTGATTGGTGTTTTATATTTGCGTGCTGGAGTCTACAGTACACTCCCTGTCTTTGGGAGAGAGGTGGGGGACACCCGGAACTAGTCACCAGCAACTTGAAGGGCACAAATTGACAAACAACCATTCACGCCTACAGTTAATTTAGAGGACAGGTCTCAAATTCCTCGAGGGCTGTTATCCTGCATGTTTTAGAGGTTTCCCTCCTCCAACACAACTGATGAAAATGATCAGCTCATGGGCAAGCTCTACAGGAGCCTGGTAACGATCCCTCGAGGACCTAAGTTTGAAACTTGTGATTTAAAGTCTTCAATCAACCTAACTTGCATGTTTTTTGGGGGGGGAACGTGGGAGGAAATCTTCACACAGGAAGGCTGGTGCAGCCTTGATTCGAACCCACGACCTCTGCACTTTGAGTCTGACGTCTTCGCGAAAAATATATGTCCGTCATGTATGTTGTGACATAAATTTAATAACATAAATACGGTGCCTTACCAAAGCTACATGAAAATCGAGCTGCTTACAAGCTGAAAAAGCTCATTCTCGCTGACGGTGTTAAACTAATGCAGTAAGCCAGCAATTAACTGAAATCTTCATGAGCGCATCAAAGGAAACACAAGGCCACTCTATGTATATTTAAAAAGGAGGAACACTGATACACTTTGCTTACACTAGATCATAAAAGCTATTGTCGTTCACGTCGTAGTCACTCATTTTTCTTTGCTGATTACTTCCTCCCTTTGTACAGAGCGCACCTTCCTCGTTTTCTCACACACTGCTAACAGTTTGCCAGTGTTTGCTGGTTATATAGGGAAGTTTAACCAAACAAAAAACAGTACCACGGAGAAACTACTTCTGATAATCTTCCAACATCCAGTATCCTAGACTGGATGCAATATATGCCAGTTTACAGCCTGCGGTGAAATTCAAATTTCAACTGTCCTGGTTCTATTACAATTGGTATTCAAAGGGTCCTCTTCATCATGCTGCTTACATTTTGACACTATGATGAAACCTAACAACTGATCTCCGTTACGTCTCGAAATTGTGAGGCTTCAAATAGGATGTTCTCAGAGGGAACGAGCCACTGATCTTAAATTAGCACAGTAGTTTCTGCGTCTTACGAAACATTTTTATTCTATTTGTTTATTGGGTTCAACATTGATGGTGGCCTGATGGCCCGGGGCCAATAGGGCATTGTATCTGTCCACTACAGACACCGGCCCAACTGCCCCAGTACAAATTACATGAATAAATATGATGAAATTAACACATTCTTGCTTTTGACCCCAAACTTTTGAGTTTTATCCATTTAACTCGATAAAGCCATTTGACGGCACAAACACACATTTTTAAGACGCTAAAAATGAAATGAATCATTGAAACATTGATTCGTTTCCATTTGAACCGTGTTGATTTGTATATTTTCATTTTTTATCTGCGTGCTGCTTTACCCGATAATGCTGCTGTAATGCCAAAAATTTCGCTCTGGTTATCAAAGTGTTATCTTCTCTGTATTTCCGATGGTTTACATTGTATCAACTTCGTCGCAAAAATCCTTTCTATAATCACACAGATTTTTATGGAGCTTTAACCTTGTGCCAAAAGGTGTTTTCTTTTAATTCATTCCTGGATCTGCTGTGTGTGAATCACAGTAAAAATACCCACAGGTCGCAAGGACAAACATGTTGGTTAGTGTTTAACAAGACAGCGAGGATGTCCGGGCGTGTAACATTAAAAAAAAAAAAAAAACAAAACAGGATGCCAAATCCCTTGTGTGCCCATTTTGCAAGGCCTCTGTGTGGCAAGCACAGGATGTTGAGCATTCAACTCCAGGGGGAGGGAGACATGGTAAAAAATAAACTGCATTCCTGCACCTTTGCACTCAAGTACAGAACAAGCTCCAAGTTCCGTGGACATATTGTGTGTGTGAATCACAGTAAAAATACCCACAGGTCGCAAGGACAAACATGTTGGTTAGTGTTTAACAAGACAGCGAGGATGTCCGGGCGTGTAACATTAAAAAAAAAAAAAAACAAAACAGGATGCCAAATCCCTTGTGTGCCCATTTTGCAAGGCCTCTGTGTGGCAAGCACAGGATGTTGAGCATTCAACTCCAGGGGGAGGGAGACATGGTAAAAAATAAACTGCATTCCTGCACCTTTGCACTCAAGTACAGAACAAGCTCCAAGTTCCGTGGACATATTGTTCAATGAATACCTCTGACAAGGTTAATCAAAAGTGAGCTGTGTTATCTTTGACATAGTGTTCGGTCAGGGCAGGTGATCAGATTGGACTAAACCACTCTGACTCCCCTCACCGTTGTCTGGACCGCCATCGATGCTGCGCGTGTGCCAAGGCTCTGGTCGTGCCAGACTCCCAACTAGCTAGATAATGAAGCAAGGAGGTTTTGGTGGTGGTGGTGGTGAGGGGAGGGGGTGGGGGTGCTTCAATTGCAGGCCTGTATTGCACAAACTGTTGATTTACAGTTACCACCACAACAAACAAGACGACTACTACTATGGCCACGACTTCTGCACCGCGCACCCTTTGAAAAAGAAAGAAAGAAAAAAAAAAGCGCAGCAGTTTCTCCACTGTCAGTAAGGAAACAGATCCCTCTCTATTGGTCTTGTTTCCATTCCATTCACCTTACCTTTTCTTGCGAGAACAATTTAGTTAATTGAAGAAATAATGCACCTGAACAACTAGTTCAGGTTTTCATTGACGCTACTATTGACGATTTGTGCGTGTGTGCATGTGTGTGTGTGTTTACACCAAAACTACATTATGTACATTTTTGGTCATATCAAAGACCGGTCAAGGGCTTTAAAGACCTTAACATAAATGTTCTTAAATAGAATTTACAGATTGTATACAAATGTACATTTTTGTAATCAAAGACCATTTAGTGCCTAATGCATTTTCAAAGAACTTAACATACATTTTTGATAACATCAAAGATGTCTTAGGATCTTCTACCAAGACAACATTGACAATAGACTCTTCGATAAACCTTTTTTTTTTGAACTGACACAAAGTAAAAAACTATTTTACAGTCTTCAAAGAGCCAAACTTAAAACTTGATTTCAAATATATAATGTGGTTTTGTATTGAGATTAGACTGTTACTCTTAGATGGATTTAACATCCATGTTTTGTACTGAACAAAATGAACCAAACTATTGTACTTTCGGGAACATCTAGAGCAATTTAGCAATTAACCTGACGTAAGACAGTTTGTAAAAATGATGACGATTCAGGCTGTCTAATGAACGTAATGTACCTTTTTCAGTCAAGAAAGTCTAGGCTCCAGTGAACCTAACATTTATTTTTTCATAAATATGGAATGTTTCAATCTTCAATGATTCTGATGCAAGATGCTTTTTCTCCACATCAAAGACAAAAAGCTTTTTGTGAACCAAACACACATTTTGGTAAGAACAACCGATCTGAACACCTATCAACAGACTGACTGCTTTGTGTCTAGCCACCGTTCCGAACTTTTGACAGTGGAATCCAAAGTCCAAACTTCAACATTGTCAGAAACAACAACTTGAGCATATGTGGCCAAGTTCCCCAAACCCAAGCAAGCACAACATACAAGCAAGCACCTACCAAAGTACTCCTTCTTCATGTGCATCTCCAACTCTTTCTCCAGCTCCAAGGTGAGCGCCTCGAGTCGCCTCTCCGCCTGACTGGGCCCGCTCTCCCGGCTCGGGGTCACCTGATAAGGCACCTTGAACCTCTGGCCCACAGTGGGTGTTTTGGAGGTCACTTCTAGGGACAAGGGGTGCTCCTGGACATGAAGACGCGGGTGCATCCCGTTGGGGTCCCCCAGCTCATGCAGGAGCGAGTCGTCGTGTCCCCCCAGCATGGAGGCTCTGGGGGAGGGCAGCTGCAGGTCCGGGTAGGTGCTCATGGAACCCCTGGAGCTGCGGGAGCTTCTTGAACTGTGGCTGGAGATGCTGGAGCGGGGACTGAGCACACATACCGGAGCTCTGGCGCTTCCATCCTGGCTGCAAATGCTGGACCTGGGGCTGGCCACAAGCGGGGCGGCCCCCTCAAACTCATCCCTGACGTGGGGTCCGTAGCGCGAGTCCGAGTAGCTGGACCTGGGGCTGGTAGTGAAGGAGTACTGGCTGGCCGTGCTGGACCTGGGGCTTGCGTGCCTCTGGTCATAGCCCATGCTGATGCCGCTGGTCCGGTTGCTGCTGGGCTTGCTGCAGCAATCGCAGCTGTTCAGACTGGTCCTGGGGCTGGAGTGCTTGCTGGTGTCACTGGCTGTGCTCGCGTAGCTGGACCTCGGGCTCAGGACGCTGGACCCCTCGCAGTGCACCAGGCTGGGCACCGCCACCACCAGACTCGCCCGGGGGCTGGCATGCTTGCTTTGCTCCTGCGATGAGACGGATGAGGATGCCAGGCTTGAGCGCGGGCTGTGGTGCCTGCCGTCCATACACACGCTGTTGCACCTGTTGCCGGGCAGAGGCAACGGCTTGTGGAGGGCGTCGAACGCGGAGCCGGTGCTGTACCGGTGCACTTCGAGCGAGTAACGTCGTTGCCTCTCGGAGGCGCCGGTGTAGCAGGGCAGCGCCACTTCGGACTTGCAGCAGCCCTCCTCGGCGTAGCCCGCCTCCCTTTGCGGGGTGCAGAAATCCACAGGGACGGTCCGGCTGCATTGCACCGGACGCACTGGAGCCGCGTTGTAGACTTTGTTCGCAGACGTGAAGTTCTCCACGGTGTGATGCTGCTGCCGGAGCGCGGTCGCCGTCGAGTCCAAATCCCTTCCCGCGGCGTCCTGTCGGCGGTAAGCGTCGTACAAGGAAAGCTCGTCCATCATTTGGCCGGCGCGGAGATCCACGTCGTGCTGATAGTGCTCCATGTTGTTGTTGTTGTAGTTTTTGTAGTCCGGAAACAAGTTAGCGTGGACCACTAGCGGAGGTCCATTCGGGAGGAATAAAACACGGCGAATAATCCAAACGACCCGGTGCTAAGGTGTTTTTCCCTGTCGTCGCGAGCCACATGTCCGTCCTCTCCGCTCCTACTGCAGCTGCAAAAAAAAAAAAAGCCTGAACCGCGCTACTGCGCCAACGGTTTGTCAACTTGAGGTTTTTTTTTTTTAAGTTGAAAGGTCCTTACAGTCAATGGCGCGCTGCGCGGAGGAATTTCACCTCGCTGGTTGGTGTCTGGCCGCCTTGCATTGCTCCCTACGCGGACAACAAAGTGAGCGGGAACTAGAGACGAAATAAATATGAAGTGGGTAGAAAAAAACACGTTACCGAAAGAGTTTTGAGAGTGTAAACGGAAGCCGAAATGAGTTTTTCCGTGGAGGGAGATTGGGGGGACTCGTTCGCGCCAAAGGAATGCGGGGGATGGAGACGGGATGCGCTGCGCCCCAGTGGAATGTGGTTAATGCTGCGGAGGAACAATGATCGCGACCAACTCAGTGAGGGGCTGCCGGCCCTCCGACACAACAAGGGGGTAGACCAACATGGGGCCCCGGGGGCGTATGTGGCCCAAGAGAGCTTTTAAAACGGCCGGCAGTGCTTTTACATGAGTAAAATGCTGAAAACAGTCCAAAACAAGGTTAACACAGTGCAGAACACTAAATGTTTTTTTTTTTTTTTTTTTTTAATGGAACAGTACAAATTAGGATAAAGTTAGTGGAACTGTGTCCTGAAACAGGCTCCAAACGCATTGGTACATCATTGAAGTTGAAGTTAAATCAAAATATGTCATCACATTCTGTTCTATGTGCCCCCATTAGTCTAAACACATTGTACTTGTTAATATTGCATCTGAGGAACATGATTTAAACTGAAAAATCTTGCTGCTTTTAACCATCTTGCCTTTTACTGGTTTTGATCTCATCTTTCAGTTTTATGGACTGATGAGAGCAAGATAAACCTCTACCAAAGTGATGGAAAGGCCAAATTATGAAGAAAGAAGGGCTTGTGTGTTTTTGGATCCTATCTGTGAAGCATGGTGGAGGTCATGTCATGCATTTTTCTTCCAGGAGACTGACAAGGAAACCCCCCCCCCCCACCCCAATCCCAGAAATTAAGAACTGAAAGAGACTGCAGTAAAGGCCTGGAAAAGCATTTCAAATGATGAATGCAACAGTCTAGTGAAGTCAATGAGTTTCAAGCTTGATGCAGTTTTTGAAAGTAATGGTTATGCCACCAAATATTAAATGTGACTCACTTAAGTTCATTTAATAATGATTGCTCCACTACTATTGCTCACTTAGGTGCTGTCAAATAAATGTTGCTGTCTTGAGTTGGTTAACACATCTCTCATTCATTTTCTCTATTTGTGGCAAGACACAGCCCCACACTGTAGTTTAAATTACATTAAAAGTGCATTCATCATAAAACCTTAATTGGCTGTAACTTTCAACATCCATTATAGTCACACTGCTAAAACAAGTTAAAACATTGTATGGTCTGTGAAAGTCTTTGTTAAAGTTACAGCTGTTGTAAAAGTGCTTAAGATGTATTGCATGATGGAACTAAGAAAAAGACTAAAACTACTCAGACGTTGCAGCCGCCAAAGCAGAAAAAAGAACCGGACGGCGTTTGCAGGGCTGCCACCTAGTGTTGTTTTCACAGTCATCCTGGAAGTTAATCAGTGTCACCAAATTGTGTAGTTTTACATTGGAGTAGTTAATAACGCAAGCATGTAAGGGGAATTAATCAGGAATATTTGCCACATTCAGTCTGGTCTGGAAGGAGTGTTGTGTGACTGGAAATCAAGAGTAAAGGCAAATAAACAGCTCAATCACAAATATGGACAGAACCATCAGCATGAATGAATGAGTTTTATTCAAAGGTTCTTAGTTTGAAAAACAAAAGGTTCATTGGGGCATTTAATACAAGACAATTTGCAGTCTATGATTGACATATCATGCATGATTTTCTTGGGAATGAGAGAGGTAGCTGGAGTATGTGGAGAGCACCCATCATAAGATGTGCACACACACGTGCAACTATCTTTTTTTCCTCTAATACATCCCCGCTTAAATATTTTTTTTTTCCCCAATTGAGCTGTACAAACTCTAAAACGATTGAGATCAAGACATTTCTTTTTTTTTTTAATATCATGGGTGTCGAGACAGTTTATAACTTACTGTACACACACTGCTGGTGCATTTTTTCCCCGAAAAATCTGGAAGCCATTATTTTTTTTTTTTAAGGGTAATGCTATAAAATGAGTTTGAAATTTTAAACTGCGGAATCATAGTTGTGGTATAAGGTATATTATGTTTTAAATAATACAGGAAATTCTACACATTTAGGGGTGCATAAAATATGATTTTTTTTTAGCAATTTGTGGCAGGGCTCGGTCCTGCTTCCCCATGAACAGCGGAGGTTTACTATAAAAAAAAAAAAAATCTGAAATATTATTCAAACACCTGAGAACTGCATTAAATGGTGAGAAAAATGCACCTTATATGTGCTTTGAAATTCTATGACATACTTTAAGACCATCAGCTGCCAGCAACTGGTAAAAAAGAGAGCAACGCGGTCATAAAAGCAGCAACAACCAGAAGGTTCACCACCAGCCGACTGGCGCCGGAGCTTTGCCATTTCTTCACATGCCCCCTGCTCCGGAACCACTGGACCACTTCATCCAGGTCATACTCCTTGGGCCGGAACCCCAGATGGGACTGGGCCTTGGCCGTACTGAAGTAGTGCGTCACGCCCGTCTTGTAGACCTCAGTGCGGGTCAGTAGTGGCTGGAAATCGTAGAGTGGTGCCACCAGGCGGTGGACTGTTTCAATGAGGAAGGCAGCGAAGTAAACCAAGGTGAGGGGGAGGCGCAGCGTTGGAAAAGGGTACCCCAAACCTTCCACCAGGGGCCTGAAGAACTCAAAGTTGTTGACAGGACGGCTGTCGGAAATGAAGTAGGCCTGGCCGGCGGCGCGGTGATGCTTCTGGTCAGTCAGGGCTGCAGCTGCGAGCGCGTGCGCCGACACCAGATTGTCCACGTGGACAAATTCCACCAAACTGTTTGCTTTCCCGTAGACGAACCTGAAGATCCCTTTCTCGATGTACCCCACAATCCTGGGGAGGTGCCGCTGCTCCCCGGGCCCGTAGATTCCGGCCGGGCGCAAAGCGCATGTCCTCAGCACCCCGGAACCGCCCTTCAGTGCCGTTCCGTTAGCTTTGAGGACAGCCATCTCCGCTATGGACTTAGTCCGGGAATAGTGGTCCGGGTGGAGATCGAGCGGCAGGTACGGGAGGTTCTCGTCTCCATTTCGGATCTCCTGCCCTCCAAAGACCACGTTAAAAGTGCTGGTGTAGACGAGCCGCGGTACGCCACACTGAATGCATGCGTCCAAGATGTTCCGGGTCCCGTCCACATTCACCTCTTCGATGCGAAGCCGCTTCAGCTGCTCCCTGCCGGACATGCCGTAGGACGCTACGTGGAACACGCAGTCAACGCCCGAAACGGCACTCACCACTTGCGCATAGTTGCGAATATCTCCTTGGACAAACTTAATTCCCTCCAGCATGACACCTTTCAGAGGGATGAGGTCAAACAGGATGACTTTGGCTCCGTTTTTATGCAGGTGGGCTGCCAAGCTGTGGGGTGAGGGCCATGCATTGAAAAAATGGGTGAAGCATCTGCACTCTCACGTCATACTTAGCTTTTATGAAATTACTGAACATCATAAAGGCACACAATTTCCTGGGAAATCTCTCTTTTTTTGTCAATATAATGGCAATACGGGTAATTTAAAAAAAAGTTAAAATGTGTTGAAATTGCAAAATATTTGTTTTCAGAAAAAAAAATCTCATTTTGGATTGTATCAAATGCAATTAATTTTATTACAATTCATTAATCAAATACTACATTCATAAAATACATGACATTTGTAAATAGATTTTAAACTATTTGCTTTACCTACCAGCATATGTTATTGTTTACAACTGATCAACATACCAAATACACAATTAGATAACTGAATTAAAAGTATACAATAAATATACTGCAATTGCCCAATTTAAGGACAAATGTGTAATTATTTGGCCTTTGACTAGTTTTGTTGCGTCACAGTTAAAAAAAAGTTTTTTGGGGTTTACTAATGATCAAGAATAGCTGTTTCATTGACTTCTGTAGTATAGGAAAAGTTTTTTTCCCTCTTTAGTATTAGTTCAAGTAATGTTGATATGATCCTATAGAGGTCATTTTATTTTCTCAAACAAAAAAAGTTCAAATCAAACAAAGTTCATTCATATAGGTCGTTCCCTCAAAAAAAAAAAAAAGTTAAAATGTGAACAAAAGATAATTTTTTTTTTATATTACACAGATAATGGCTTCACTGTATTCATAATCAATTTCGATAAAATACATAAGTAATGTAAATGTAAAATTGTTTACTCATAGCTTTACATCCTATTTAAACCTTTAATGCAGGGGTCCCCAACCGCCGGTCCGCGGACCGGTACCGGTCCGCAGGGCATTTGGTACCGGGCCGCACAGAAAGAACTTGCCTTATTTCTGTTTTATTTATTTCGGAACACGAAAGATGTTTTATTTTGAAAAATTACCGGATTCTCTTTTACATCCGTCTGTGTCACGCTTGACTCACGTCAAGCCACACTTCTCGGTCACGTGACCAATGACGCTTAAAAACAAAACACTAAAGCCCGCAAAATGAGTAAAAATGCTGCTTGGAGATCACAAATGACAGCGGCCTTAAAAGTACGTTCGAAACAACTGGATCAAAGTTATGGCTGAATACTCTGAGATCGCCACAATAGCACTGTTGCTGAAAATCAAGCTCGGGGCTGTGGTGAGTCGTCATTTTCATGCACTTTGAATTTGCGTTGTATCGTATTTTGAAGGCATTAAACATTACCAGAGCGATAAGAGTGTTGCGACCAGATTAGACGCTCCTTGTGTTTATTATTATATTTCGAAAACACCACAGTTTTCATGCAGCTCATACCATATTATTTTGTTGTATTAATTCGCCACACCTTAAATGCCGGTCCCTGAAAATATTGTCTGACTTTAACCGGTCCGTGGGGCAAAAAAGGTTGGGGACCCCTGCTTTAATGTACATATAAAACATGCAAAATCATTGAACTGATTTGAGTTCATTTAACCTATTAAGTTATGTGGTGCTGCCATCTCGTGATAAGTACCAGTAACAACAACATAATGTTTAAAAGACGTGTTACCGATAGCCGAAGTATCCACATCCTCCTGTTATCAAGCATGTTTCCGCGCGTGCAGTTTCCATCACGAGCCTGTTATTTTAAGAACATTTAAACAAAGCATTGTAAACACACTGCAGACAAAAAGGTGATCGTGAAAAATATGTGAAAAAAATCTGAGCACGGTCATGCGATTTTACGTAGAGGCTGCTGAGCATTGCAAGTGAGCTATGGCACGTTTCCAGCTAGCAACAAGCGTGGTCGAAGTTACAGCACACCGTGTAACACACGCTATGAAACTAATGACATTCCATAGCTCCCAAACTACAGTAGAACCAACCGTGGTTGGAATGTAGCACAACACGATTAGAGATTAAGTTGGGAAGCACCAGTTTCGTCAAAGTAAATCTTACCACTAATGTAAAGCCGGTCTGCTGAGAGGTAGTGGCTACGCTACGTCTTCCGCTGAGGCGTAATTTACTGGGGGTGGCGATAACAAACCCGCTTTGGTCCAGCTTTATATTTCATATTTATAATTTTTAAGCAAAAAAAGTATTTGATGTCAAACAATAATATGGCACAATATACGAGAGCTGGAACAAACAATGATAAAACACAAGGATTTAAAAAAATAAATAAATAACAACACCAGGAAGTAAAGTTCGCATAGAGTACTTGGTTCATTCACTTAAACTATTTTATTTTTGAAAAGCAACAACGGATGTGAGTAGATATGGCATGAACGTTCACTTTTGCAACAACTAACAGGAAGTGGACGTGATTATGAAAAAAACTGACGTGTAAATATGACTGCTTAGATGACTGGTGCAATAAATACATACATTAAAAAAAGCTTCTTTTGTTGCAACAAAAATACGACGCACGTACTCTGGCACAAATTCCAAAGTGCAAAGTCGAACTGCGTAGGATGACTTTTTAAAAATAAATGAGAACATAAATATGTTTTTTTCCTGCTAAAACAGGTTTTCGAAAAGCAGTGAATGGACATGATGATGCTCCGAATGAGCAGAGAAACATATGCAGGGCAATTTTGGAAGAAAACCTGTTGGAGTCTGCAAAAGACCTGAAACTTAGATGAAGGTTTCCCTTCTTACAAGACAATGATGAGAAACATAAAGCAAAATCTACAACGGTTCAAAAATAACATATCCAGGTTTTGAATGGCTAAATCCAGATCTGAATCCAATTGAGAATCTGTGCAAAGATCTGAAAACTGCTATTTACACATGCCCTCCATCTAATTTTTCTTAGCTGTCGCTGATTTGCAAAGAGAAATCGGCAAAAATTCCGTCTCTACATGGGCAAAAGAGAGAGACATAACCCCAAAAGACTTGCCTATGTAATCTCAGCAAAAAAATTATTCTGTAAATTGAGGGTGCGGAAGTAAAGTTCGCATACAGTACTTGATTAGTGTGACGAAGCTATTTTATTTGGAGAAGCAACAGCGGATGTGAATACACAGAGCAAAATTAATGACTTTTCGGGTTGGGCGCATCACTTTTGCAAGTAAAAGGTAGGGTGGAAACAATCGTTTTTAAAATTTTAATGCGCAACTATAAGTACTTAGATGACCGGTGGAATACATAACGCTTCTTTTGTTGCGTAAATTTCGAGTGTTCGGTGTGCCCGCGCCTTGTGCAACAATACCATTTCTTTTTAATTTTCGCAACGAGAATACCACGCACATACACTGGCACAAACGCCAAAGTGCAAATGTGACATAGGTAAGACTCCCTTTACAAAATAAAGCCACAATAAACATTGTTCCTGTGTAGTAAGACAACGTTTAGACAGGCACTATACAAAAATGCTGACGCGGAGTTTGCATGTTCTTGTGATTGTGAACTGGTTGCCAGGCAATCGCAGGGCACACAGCCGTTTCAACTGGCAGTGATTGTGCGAATCAAGCGTTGTTTTACAAAGACCGATCCTGTAGAACGTGCATTCGGATCAATTTAACATTTCTCTAAATCTACAGTTAATATAAATGAATGGTGTCAATGTGTATAAAAAAGCAACAAAGCAACGGCTCGTAACTTGATAAACTTCAAGTTTTCTGAAGTCATTGTACCACTGTATTATAACAATTTTTGTCAAAAATATGTCCTCTCTTTTACAGGCAAGATGAACCTTGAGGAATACTTCAAAAGAATCGGGTTCCAGGGCCCGCATGACAAAGCGGACCTCACCACGCTGAAGTTGATCCACAAGCAGCACATCATGTCCATCCCCTTTGAAAACCTCGACATGCACTGTGGCAGAACAATCGGCATGGACGTGGAAGTCATCTTCGACAAGATAGTTCGTCAGGGCCGTGGTGGCTGGTGTATGGAGAACAACTTGCTGCTGTCCTGGGCGCTGAGAGAAATGGGCTACGACGTCATCGTGTTGGCCGCCAGGGTGTTCAAACGCTCCATCGGTGACTTTTCCCCCTTGGAAGGTCACCTCATTAATAAGGTGGTGATTGACGGGAAGCCCTACATAGAAGACGTCAGCTTCGGGGGGTCCTCGCAACTGTGGGAGCCGCTGGAGCTCGTCTCCGGGAAGGAGCAAGTTCAGGTACCCGGAACCTTCCGTCTCATTGATAAAGGAGACTTCTGGATTCTGGAGAAGACAGACAGGAAGCCGGAGATTGTCAATCCTGAGTTTGCCAATTCCAATCTGGTGAATAGACAGTTGATCAGGAACTTGTACTGCTTCACTCTGACGCCACGCGATGCCGGATATTTCATCGATGCCACTCACAGTCTCCAGACGAACCCCACCTCGCTGTTTATCAACAAGTCCATCTGCTCCCTGCAAACGCCAACAGGCTTCAGGGTTCTTATCGGATGGACCTACAGTGAAGTCACATTCCAGGTTAACCAGGGCGTGGACGTCTATGATATGAGGGACGTGCCCAGTGAGGAGATAGAGAGCCTTCTTCAAGACAAGTTCAACATCCGTTTGCCGAACAAACTACAGCCTGTGAACAACCACTACAAGTACACACTCTAAAGCAGTGGTTCTCAAACTGATGTCGTGGGAACTCCAAGGGTCCGCGAACCGTAATTTGGGGGTCTGCAAAATAATTTGCAACAGATTATTATATTGGAATGTTTTAAAAAGTGCCTCCCTACAGATCATGACATGCGTGTCACTAAAACAAACATAATAAAGTAGTTACTCCTCTCCACCTTTGGGTCAGGTTAAAGGGATTGAATACATAAATCTGCTTTCCCTGTTTCATTTGTTTGGTTTTAAATGTGGTTGTTGAACTATAATGTAAAAAGCAAATTTAGCAAACAAACCACAGAAGAATTATATATTTCTTTAAAACTAATCTTGAGAACTGGCTTGATTTTCACCTGCAGTGAGTGAGTGCATTAATCATTTTAGCATTATCTATATCATTACTGAAGGCTGAAGTCTGACAGTTGTTGAAATATGTAGACGAAAATAAATCACAAATGTGACACAAAACCCTCTTAAAGGTCGAAAGTTGCCATTTGAAATGACTTTACAGTAGTTTTGCATTGTGTTCGCGTTTTGTCGACAAATTTAAACAACAGAATGAACATCCTCTGGGATTGGTGATTCCATAGTTTTTTCCTGATGTGGAATTGCATATTTTTTGATCGGAAAATATGTATTTTGAATAAAATACTTGATTGTTTGTTTCCTGTGATTACTTTAAAAAGTATATTAAAGGCTTGGAATATGCACTTGACTTCTTTATATTTATACATTTATTGTCAAAGGTGAGGAATTTAAACAAGTACTAAAATTAATAATAGTGTTAAGTCAAATGTACTGGAGAGTATAATATATATACTGTATACACACACACACACACACACACACACACACACACACACACACAAAAGAGTGATTTCGGACTCCTGACGTCAGTCATTACACCATGCCGTTTCAAGGCATACATCATCACATGTACTACTGTGTGCGAGTGTGTGAGTCACTATGCCATGAATCACACCTAAATCCAGTTTATTTCTGAAATTATTTTTTGTTGATGTATTTACGTTTCACAATACAGTTCTAATTTCTTTATGAAATTGTTATTATTATTATCAATAGTAACACATTTATTTTATTTATTTGATTCTTCCAGCAGTGGCATCAGTCTCAAGGTCCGGCACTACACTAAACTTGGTGATTGGGCCAGAGCGACGAAAAGGCGGGGCTTTACTCACTATACCCGCCTATTGAGCGAGAGTCTTATCAATCTACAGGTGCTAATTGGTCCGTTTGGCCTGTCTTTCATGCAAAGAGCAGCGAACGGCACAACCCACCGCCGGCTGCTGAGGAACACACCACGTGACCACGACTAATAGACATGAACTCATTGGAGCAGGCCGAAGGTAATACGCTGTAAAAGCTCTTTTATTCAACACTCAGCGATTTTTTTAAATGACCTATTCGATTATCACTCTTAAATGTCAATATCTCAGGAAGGCATTAAAATGAACGCGGCGTTGAATTTAATTCTCGTCTCCCTTCGACGTTAGCATGTAGCATTGTGGCTGACATGTTAGCTCTTACAATCCAGATGTGCACATAATGTACTGTATAACACAGCATGACACATGTATTCCCTTGACTCCGAATTTACAACGTTGTTAATCACAATTACTCATTCTTCCATCAGACCTGAAAGCCTTTGAGAGAAGACTGACAGAATATGTCTCTTGTTTACAACCTGCAACAGGCAGGTGGAGAAGTAAGTCAGGCAAAAGATTCATACACCGCTTAATTATGTTTTCATAACAATGACTTTGTTTTTTTTTCCTTTTCTTTCTTCTCAGTGATTTTGATCGTGGTGTCAGTCTGCACAGCCACCGGCGCTTGGAACTGGTTGATCGACCCCGATACACAGAAGGTATGCATTAAATTCTTCTTTCAATGGGGACATATGGAGATGAAAACATTACTTTTTATTTGCTTGTATATATATATAGTTCAAGATTTTAGCCGGATTGTGATGCAGCAGTGCATTAGCTCACCATGTTAGCAGATTGAGAACTGTGTCTGTAACTGTTGTGGCTGTGCTCCTCTTGTCCCGCAGGTGTCTTTCTTTTCATCGCTGTGGAATCATCCCTTTTTCACCATCAGCTGCATCACGCTCATCGCACTCTTCTTTGCCGGGATACATAAGCGAGTGGTGGCGCCGTCGATGTATCCTTTTCAGTGGGAACTACCAAAATTGAGCACAATATTAATTGTCCTTTCAAAGGATTTTTTTTTCATTTTTACTTTTGTTTTTTTCACGCTACTTTTACTGTATTTTTATTCTTCAATCCTGTATTTATTCAAAACATAATTTAATGTAATAGAATAGAACTGAATAGGCAGGACCTTTCCCTTCCATCAAATTTCCTGTTCTACGGTTATCATACTTCCTTGACCCTTTTCACCCTCAGTATAGCTGCAAGGTGTCGGACAGTTTTAGCGGAATACAACATGTCCTGTGATGATGTGAGTTAATATGCATTTCTTGACACGTGTTTTTGGGTCATTTTCTGGGTCTCAATGTGTTCATTATTTTTGGCTCTTACCAGACGGGAAAGCTTATACTCAAACCACGGCCGAACATCCAGTAAGTGTACGATTGTGGGTGATCCGAAGACATCTGGGGGGGACATTAACCTCTTATGGTGATGACGATTTGTCAAGAAAGAGAAGAATGGACACAGCCATTTTGTAGCTGTGCTTATGTTGAAGCTGCTCAATTCCTCTTAACAGTACATCTGTGTGTTTGTTGATCATGTATTTTATCAAAATGTTTCTATTTTTTAAAAGTGTTTACTCAATAAATATACCAGCTATGAAAATGTCTTTTGTATCACTTATTAATGTATTATTTTTATTATTGTCTCTGAAGGACTCTAACGCATAGTATGAAAGGGAAGAAGGAAAAAAAGAGTAGGAAGCAAGCAAGGATGTATGAAAGGTTGGGAGAAAAGGAGGGATGAAATAGAAGTAGGATGAGGGAGGATGAACTAATTGAAAAGATGCAAAACACAGATGGTAACAAAGGAATAAAGAAATAACTGGAAGGAAAGATTGAAGTGTGGATTGATTGGAGGAAGCAAGGACATAGGGATCGTTTTGAAGGATGGTTAAAGGGTGGTATGAGAGGAATGAAGGAAACAAGGATAGGTTGGAAAGATATAATTAAAAAACATAAGTATACACCACCATGTTTATTATTTTTATTGTAAACCCGCATTCATAATCAAGCTACTATTATGAATTAAAACTTGATATTTTTTATCGATGAGTCGTTACTATGAAGGTAATTATTACTTTTATTACGTTTCTATTATTACTGTATAGTATTATCTATTACTGTATTATCTATTATCCGCTCTCTCAATACGATTGCGACACCTTTTCTTGCTTTACGGTACAACAGCAAAACTCGCACTTTACGGCAGTTATCTTCCACATGGCCATTTCCTCGTTCATCGTCATTTCTGAGGGTTATTTCCTGAAATTTGCGACCGATTAACCTCGAATTTTCCAGATTTGCACTTTAAAACAAGTTCAGAATGGGCAAAAGTAAGACGACAAAGTTTAAACGTCCTCAGTTCAATGCTGTCGGACTACCTGTGACCGCCGTGAAGGAAGCGGCCGCAGAGGAGGAGGCATTCGCGGACGACGACGACGACTGCCCGGCGGTGGAACTGCTGGAGAAAGTAGGAGAGAGCAGCAACCAATTTTCGTTTAAAAACAACTTTTGCATGTAAACGACTTAATGACGTAACTGCCCTGTAATGCAAAACTAGTAAGTGTAGTCTATTACAAGCAAATTTGGACAATTCCACAACATATTCTCTTCGCCAGAGTCGTCCTTGTGTTGTTCAACGTGATTTGTAGCTGTCAGTGTGCATAATCGCAATGTGACTAAAGTCCAACAGTGGTAAGCTTTGAGTATGACCTCACCAATGCTGTTCTGGATAAATGAACACAGAACACTCCATTATTTCAATAGAATGACCTCGCGTCCTGTTTACTTTTTCCAGTAATGACCAAATTCACGAAGTTTTTTTCCCGAGCTGGAACTAAGGCAGAGGTGGCACCATTTGTGATCATCACACATGCGTATGCATGTAACAAGGCGTGCAACTAACAGTTATTTCAATAATCGATGAAAATGAACAGCTTTTGGTTTCCATCCTTTTGTTGAAAAGCAGGTCATTATTTCTTATTGACAGAGTAGAACATGCGCAGAAGTTTAACTATGTTCCAGTTGCTGGTTTCATCCCTAGCATGTCGGAAAAGGGGCCAAAATGTTGATCATTGTTTTCCAAATTAAAGGCAAATGTTTTATTTTAACTCAAAACAAATATAATTCGTATACTTTAATGGAAAACTATAGAAATCGAGGAATATTTACTGTTGAGAGGCTGAAAATCTGAGGATTTTGAGAATTTTAAATTAAAAAGGGTATCGAAATAAATAATCTATTATCAGAAAAAAACATTGATTCGTTGTCAGCTACTCAATCATTGCACTTCTACATACAGTACAACATTACATCTTCTCAACTGATGTCTGAGATTGCCACCTTCAAATTTTATATGCTGGAAAAATCACATTAAGTTAACGAGTGTTTCCATCCCTAGTTGGAGAGTCCCAGCGCGGATGTAAGGGAGTGTGCATGCGCCGGCATCTCTCGGGTAGTCCAGCAGAGTCAGAGCATCCCGAGCTTTCTACAGAGGGACGCAGTGAGGCGGCTTGGTCCCATGTTGCTGGACAGCAGCCTGGCCGTCAGGGAGACCGCCGCCGGAGCACTCAGGTGCAAATAGAATCTTCCTCGTGGAGGCAGCATGAAAGTTTTTTTTTTTTTTCTTTCCTTGCACTCTCAGGGGGCCATCAGAGGCAAAGCTTGCGAGCTAACTGCATGTCACATTTGCGCTGAATTGGGGGCAATGCAAACAAAGGCGATCAGTTTCTTATATAGTGGGTGAGCGGCGACTCATTGACGACTCAAATATATATATTTTTCTCAATATTGCGAGCTTTTGTTCAGTATCGTGAGCTTTTTTTACATTGACAATCTCCCCACAATATCGTGATGATTATCTTATCTTGAGGTTCATGTCATGATATCGTATGGTGACGTTTGATTATCGTTACTTCACTACATTTGAGTAGTACATAGTTCCAAGTCTTTGTACATTTTCAGCAACAACAAAAAAAATCGTCAAACATGTATGATGCATTTAGAATCAAATCACGGAATTCACTTCACAGGGTCTTGAAGCTTGCCAGACTCCAGTGTTGTGTTTGTATTTCTCTGGTTTTACCTACAGAGGGCGCCTTGTAATAACAAAGCAGCTTTCTCCTTCAAGTGACTTCCTCAGTCCAGACGTCTGTTATCCAGGAAACGTACATCAATATGGTCTTGTACTTGCGTTCTGTCATCGAGTTACCTCTGTCGTCTCCGCCGATAGCAAACATTTCATCGGCAAATAAGAACTATTACTTAAAATGGAAAAGTTGCAAAAAAGCAATTCACCATCAAACATAACAAACTGCTTGCACTTGTGCGTTTGTGTCTCCACCGACAGAAATCTGAGCGCATGTGGTGGCCCGCAGGTGTGCGAGGACATGGTGAAGCGCGACGTCATGACTCCTCTGACAGCACTGCTCAGAAACGTGAGCACTTTTCACCACTGGCCGCATCACTTCTTTTTCTTCTTGCTCAGCAGCTGTCTAAGCATTGGGCTGACGGCAGCCATCGGCATCATCAACTTTGTATGCTGGGATTGAGCTTCAACTTGATTGCTCCAATGTAATGTTTGAGTCATTTTTAACGTTGCTTTTCAAATGGTAAACACCAAATTTTGCAGCTATTTTTTTTAAAAAAAAACAACGTTTGAAGTCACTCGCCAAGGTGAACGTAGCAGGCTTGTTTCATATGAGTCACAAGAACCCATGATCGAAAGTGGCCATTTTATGGTATTTTTCAAATTAGTGATTTCCTTCTGGTATATTCACCGATTTGTTTTTTTTTTTTTTTTGTTTGTTTTTTGCGGGAACCTATCCGCTGCTATTTGGTGAAAGACTCACCTATTTGCAGTATTTGTCTCAGTCCATAACCGTGTCTAATATAAAACAATTGCTTTGGCACCATATTGTGACATCTTGGTGCCGAGGAACTACCGTGAATGAAGGTGAGGAGCTTCATTTAGACAGGCCATGTCCAGTGTCACATAAAAGTAGTGCTTTACCACCATCTTCTTTTGGGGGTCCATTATTCACGGATCCCTCTACATTCTTTAATTATACTGTAGAAAAATGTTTTTTGCCACTTTTATGTTATAAGATATCCTTTATTTGTCCCACACTGGGGAAATTTACAGTCTACAGCAGCAAGATTGTGGGTAGAAATAAGAGAGAAGAAAAACAAAGTGTATGCATTCACAAATTCACAAAATGAATGTTACAGTTTCAATGTAGACCGTTCAATTAAGTACAATACAAATATAGATATAGATAAGGTGGTGTGTTATGGGGCGTGCTGTGAGATTTTTGTCATGTTAAAAAAGTGTATTGGCTCAAGCGTGTGGATGGCACATGGCAATGTTGTTTGATGACTAGCCAAATTAAGCGGATGAATACTTTGGAGTTTTTTTTCCCCGTCCGTTCAATACAGCTGTCTGTTTCCTTCCCAGTGTTGCGCAGGTTTCGACGGTGCCGCAGTACCGACCAAAGAGCCAAAGAACCAAGCTGAGAACGTCCTCAATGAGGCAGTGAGCCTACTGTGGAATCTCTGGTAAGCACCGCTAAATCCATCGGTAGTTTGTGTTTCGGGAGGTGATGATACTGCAGTGCACGGCAAGACTGTAAATATTTGGACAGCACCACAAATGGCTGTTATAGTGCTGTGGTGGTCATCCGGTGGATTATTTTAACACGGAAGCCCTCAGATGTCCTCAAAGCTCTGATGGTGTGCCAGACGCGAGCAGCCGGCACTATTCAAATTTCAACTTCTATTTGTATTCTTTCTATGGTATACTGATGTTTCAATCCATCCTGAATGTGAGACACCCTCCTCATGGTTTTGTTATTGTGGCCTTTCCACAAGTGATTGTACCAATTTTTGAGTCCTTTTTTTTTTTTCTTTTTTCATTACACAAATGTTACTATGCATTTTCCAGATGTTACTTCAAATTCTTTCAGCTTGTGATAGCCTAAAATAGTTTTACTGAGTTTTATTCACTTTCAACCAGGGTTATTACGGTCATGAAAATCCATGAAAATAAGAATAAGAAAACCTTTATTTGTCTCACAATGGAGAAATTCCCAATTTACAGCAGCAAAGTTATGAAAGGAAGAAAGGAGAAGAACAAAAAGTATAGGAGCTGCTGTAAAGGCAGCCACTCTCACCACACAGAAAAGTTGTGGACATTGACTTTGTTTGGGGTTATAATATCACCTGTTGGTTTGGGATGTGGTTAACAGCCTTGCAAGATTCAATGCATTCCTATGCATAAAGATTTGTAATTATTGTTATTTTTTTTAAACCAGACAGTCACCAAAAAATTACCTTATTTTTTACAGAAGACCAACATCCCAAACCATATCCATTTATTGTCCTTCATTATGTGACATGTTGCTTGATTCTTTGTCATGTCCTTTCCAGCGAGAGCAGCAACCAGGCACTGTTCCTTTTCAACAAATCAGGTCTTCTAGATGTGGTAGTCCATTGTCTGGAGAGACACCCCCACAACGTGGAGTTAGCCACTTCTGCTGGTGACATTGACATTCAATCCAAAGGTTTGGTTGAAATCCCCAAACCTTTAAGCTACAGCTAATGTTTTATTTTTTGCGGTTAAACAGCGCACTGTTTGCACACGGTGTCGGAGGACAACCCCGAGCTGCTGTGTAGCATCAATGGCCATGTGCATGGAGCTCTCGAGGGCATACTGCTGTCAAACCAGCCTGGCATGGCGCACACTCTCCTCAGAACACTGGCTGCAGGTGCTCTTTATCACTTCTTCATGCCCTCATTTAGTACTAAATATGTACCAAATTCTAAATGGTTGTGATAAATTAGATTCTAATGTTATGATCGCATGTAGTCAAAGCGTTGGAAAGGTAGCACCAACACAGAATGCGGGTGTGAAGCTGATGGGGGGGGTACTTCTACAGATTGCATAATGTTTCCATGAAATCGTCTGAATGTAATGTTTTGGCACAGGATCACTGTGGAACATGATGGGAAGCCTCCCCGCTGCTCGCCAGGCTCAGACCCTCACAGCTGTGCTCACCACAGTGTCCCAATGTCTGGATTTGGACGCGGGTGAGCTCATCCCTCAACTTCACAGAGCAGAGGAGGCACGCTTCAAGGATGCTCCCCCCGCATCAGGGATAGAGGCGCACGTGAGCGGGGAGCCCGCTGTGGAGGAGATGGATGAGGAGGGAACAGCACAGCGAGTGAAAAATGGAGATTCCGATGATGACTTTTCTGATCTCTTGCCTGTAAGTTCACGATCTGGTTTTGATCAGCATTTTATTCTATGACAAGAGCTCATACGATTTAAAACTAAATATCCTAGCATACGCCTTTTTTATACCATATTTAACGAAGATGACAGACAGTCATCTCAAATGTGTGACACACGATCCTCCGTACAGATAGTTCAATTGTGCCAGTTTCTGGAGTGAAGTATGAACGCTGAAAATTCTTTACAATCCAGTAGGACAACAAAAGTGTGAAACTATACTCCTCTACTATTTCAGCATTTCGGAATATACTGTCTCACACACCAGGAAGTTGAAATTGAAAAGCACTTTTACTGAAAAATATTCACATTAAAGGGAAAGTCAAGTCCCTAAACATCTTTACAATAAGATGTTCAATGTGACCCCACCATTCTAAATGTGGTATTCTTGCAAACGTTACATGACCAAACCCAGAAGACAGATGAGTGTTGGTGGTTGTTACATGACCCCTTGGGCACTGCGATGTCATTTTCAGTCGACAGCAAGTGACAAAATGCTGTATCAATATTGTATCAGATCAATATTTTGTCTTGCCCCTGTTAGACACTCATACCACACTGACAGGCTAAATTTGTAATATATATGTGTGTGTGTGTGTGTGTGTGTGTGTGTGTGTGTGTGTGTGTGTGTATGTATATATATATATATATATATATATATTTCATAATTTTGCTGCTGTAAATTGGACATTTTTCCATTGTGAGACAAATAAATAAAATAATAAATGTTTTCTTACCTTATTTTAAACCAGCTGTCATGTTCAGGCTGGTACTTACTGTCTAGGGTACCCAGTAGGCGAGTACCACGACCTTGGCTAGACAGATGTGTCACCCTCAGCCATCTCTAAAGTGATGAGATTGAAGTGGATGTTTGGTATGCTGCAGCCACTCCAAACATCCATCTGAGATCCCCCATTCAGGCTTTGTCTATTCAAACAAACACACACACACACACACACACACACACACACACACACACAGACACACACACACACACACACACGGATGTTGTGATTTAACCAGCTGAACAATCTTGGCCAGTGTCTTCACTCACAAGGCGGCTTGTTTGCGTCCAGAGGGAGCTGGAGGAGTTGAGGGAGGCGGCGGCCTTGCTGACGGCCCAGCAGACGTCCCTGGAGATCCTCGTCAACATGTGCTGCTCTGACGGTGAGGCTAACACTGACATGATTCCCTCTGACATGGCCGCCATGTTATCTTTTTTTTTTTTTTTTTTGCATTTCGTGAAAGATGTAATGACGACACCTTCTCGAAGAGCCTTGTGATGTGTGTCCATTCAGATCCCTCAGACGACGAGTGGGAGGAATCGTCAAGTGGCGATGAAAGTGAAGCGACGGCTGATGGATTTTCGAGCCTCATGTCGCCGCTCTGTTTGTCGGCAGAGGTGCACGCTGCCCTCATCAACCACAACATCCCAGAAAAGGCAAATTTGAGAAATATACAGCACAGTGAAATCTATTCGTCATGTACTTGCACGGGTATTCCTATTTCAAAAACATACATGTTGGGGTCATTGATGACTCTTTAATTATCCATAGGTGTGAATGTGTGTGTGAATCCCGTATGTATGTGGCTGTGTGTGTGTGTGTGTGTGTGTGTGTGTGTGTGTGTGTGTGTGTGTGTGTGTGTGTGTTTAAACCTATTGTCAGTTGTTAGCAAAGATTTGGGGCTTTTGGTTGCATTGTTGTACTCTGTAACGTTAAGATTCCTCAAGATAGCGCCAAAGTCCTCTATAATTATAAAATAGCAATTGGAAGTCTGAAAAAGTGACAAGTCTCAGTTTCACTTTATTTAATGTAATGTTTGATGAGTCGAAATAACATTCAAATGTTTGGGCTTGTAGTTTGTGTGTATTTATGGTTGAAATATCAACAGTTCTAAACACTTTTGGGGGGGTGTCAATTTACTCTTGCCCCCCCCCCCCCCAACTCTCTCACCCACCCACCCACACGCACGCATGCACAATTTCCTGCATGGCTCAGTCTCTATTACTGGAGCCTACTTCTCTTGCTCAAAGTCAGCTAAGATAGGCTCTGGCTCATCTGCAGCCTTAATGAGGAAAATCACTAAAGGAGGTGGATCGATATGTTTTAATATCATGAAAATAAGAGTTCAAGGTGAACAGTCCTCTCCCAAGGCTAAACCAGAAAGTCGCTGTGAGTGTGAAAGATTGGGTGAGCATAGTAAAAAAACAACTGCATATCATGCATTGTTTGCACTTTCGCAAATTTAAATAGGCCCACCAAGAAAGAACAAAATGTCCTCAGTGGAGGAGGTCAATATGGTTGTGAAGGTGAATGCAAACCTTTATAATGTCCAACCACATGCGTGCCTGTGCATTCATAACGCATGTATGTATTATTTGTCTTCTATTTGTACTATACTAATATTTGCTGTCTTGATTGAAGGTGCTCAAAAAGACGCTGTTCCCCAAGCAAGAAGCCATGGACGTGTGCCGCCAGACTACCAACTGGAGAGGCCTTCAAAAGAAGTAAACTCACTCCTCACGAGAGGTTTTAAAGCCATTGGGATTTCAGTGACGCTGCTCTTTTCCTTGGACAGAATGCGGCGCGTCCAGTCTCGTGCCCTCACGTGCCTCCACAGCATCCTGTCCGGCATGGACGCCGAGTCTCTGGGCGGGGCAGAAGCCCTGCAGCAGGCTGCGCAGCACTTGTCCGCGCTGGTTTTTGGAGCACCAGGTACTGCTGTGAACTCCATTGATCTGGATTATTGATAGATTGATTCAGTACGGTTAGAGACACGTAGTACGTACAGTAGATCAAGAGTGTCCAGACTTTACTACTTTTCCTGGAGCCAAGCTTCAGAGATCGATCAATTCACTGTCAGCATTGCAAACCCACGCATCTTCACCAACCTGCAATAACCAACGGCACAACACTTTTTCTTGCTGTCATCCAATCAACTCCAACCAATCAACATTGCACTTTGTGCTCCTTTCCCAAAAGTGTGCACACCTTATATTTTGTCTTTTTACCACTCTGATAGAGATCCCTAAAGATGAGGAGTTCCTGGAGGCAGTCATCAGTGCGATGCGGGCTCTTTTGCAGATGACCACCTCGAAAAACATCCCTCTGGTAACACGAATGTCAATTTTTTTTTGGGGGGGGGGGTGATTGCGATATCATCTTTATTGTTATTTTTTTGACAATTTTTGTTTCGTTTCTATTAGTCGATAAACTTGCAGCAGCTAATGAGCCTCAGTGAAGCTGCTTCCCGCTGTGATGTTGTCAGCGTGAGAGTCAACGCAGTCGCCATCCTGGGCATCACTGGCAGCACCCTCGCCAAAGAGAAAGGCTCAGCTCCAACCCTTGAGGTTCGTTTCACATTGCCTGTAAAAGTCAGAATTTTTCCATCTTTATTTGGTTATTCTGTATCAGTGGTGCATTGAAAAGCTGTCATTTTCTACCCATTTCTCCTTGTTGCTGTTGTGTGAACTGCACCGACGCCGAATGGGCGGGACAATGCAGTTTTCCATCTCTGGATAAAGTGATAAATCCCGCTTTACCGTTATTTTGTAGGATCTGTGTGTAAAACGAAGGCTTGTATCTATTTTAAAGAACCATTTCTTTTACAGATGATTGGGAGCGGCTTGCTCCAAGTCGCAACCAATGATGCTGACCTGGTCGTTAACGGCGAGGCCTTAGACGCCCTTTTCGATGTGTTTGCGGATGGCAAGGAGGCCGAGACGGCGGCCAAGAGCATCCAGTTACTTCCTGCTTTGAAGATGCTTCAGCCTGTCTTTAAGGCCAAGGTACTGTATTTTTTGTTTTTGTTTTGAAATTCAAACCGTCACACGTGACATTAGCAATTCCTGTGTGTGCATTTTTTGACTGCATTTGGGATAAGACGTGGTTGTAGGTACATATGCTGCTTCTTTTTTGTCATCAGATCCGGAAGGCGGGCAGAGACGAGTACAGCCCGCAACAGCTGTGCGTGCTCGACAACGTCAGAGTCAATCTGAGGCGATTCATCGGCTACCTTGAGACTCTGGCCAAGAAGTGACCGCAGTATGGTGGTGAAAACCATCCAGTATTTATTATTTTTAATGTTGTTTATTTTGGTTTGGCCTGACTCCTAAGTTTATATTTGAGGTTTCTTTACTGTGAAGAAATCAACTGCTGGTTGAAGTTGACGGTAAGAGATCATTCTCGATTGATATCATAAATCAGGGTTTCCGAAACTCAGAGTGCAGGATCCAAAAATGTCTTCCTTTTATTATTTATTGGGGGTTTCCTAAGTGCCATACACTATGTAATAGAATTGGACAATTAATGCATCAAGTGCCTTACAACAGGCTTCTCATCCTTTTTGTGTCCAGGAACCCCTTACGTTGGAGAATTGACGTGTCATAAAATTATGGGGTTCTTAGTTTACAATTGAGCCATGGTCAATTTACTCCATGAATGGGCTACGTTGTGAAACAAGAAGTTTTTTGGTTTTTTTTCAAACTCTATTACCAAAACTGTTAAGTCTGATGGTTTGTAGAAGGGCCCAACATCATGAAATCTCTATTCCTGTGTACTAACACAGGAATAGAGACTACTTAGAATAGAGACAAGACTACTTCCCCAAAACTTAAACTTACCTTCATGTAGTAATCCTCAAAAAGAAAAGTGGCACAAGTCAGAACGTGCCCCATTTCATTATTAACCAACGCTAATGTAGTTGTAAAGTCACAATTACAGTAAATATTTGGATGAAAGCACTTTGGGGCCTAAATATAAAATGATATACAGTAATGTCAGTAACAGTAAATTTGGCACTGATTGAACATGCCACATGATCACATTTTTTTTTCGACATTTGTAACCTCATGTCGGAAACTGAGGACTCCACCGAAGTCACCTTGTGCTTGATGCCAAAGAAATGTAATTAACTCATTCAGTACCAGCCAATTCTAGACCCCATTTTTTTTTTACCCTAAATCTTGGAAAAATTGAAAAAAATAAGTATCTGGGGTTGAACGTGTGGAGTGTGAAAAGACATATAAATATGTCTTTGGGAGTGAATGGGTTAAGGAGGAATACACTGTTTCCGTAATTTGAAACTGTCCCCAGGTGTTTTGGTAACATGCCTATGACAATACACCTGGGATGAAGAATTACATATCCTATTTTGAGCCTACCTGAAATTAGCCTGTTTTGAGAGTTGACCACTTGGCCCTGTCTCATGCAAGTGAGCCACTGCTCCTTCTGCTAGGCCAATGGCAACTCATCACTAAGACCCTTAATTACACTTGTCGGGTGATGTGTAAATTTCCCCTGATGTCGAATAGTGTTTACAAGCAAAGCATCTTGTCAGGTTGATCCTTCTCTATTATACAGTCTGTTTTTTGATGACAATAACAAACCTGGCTGTGCAGGTTTATGTATCCTTGACATTTGACTGTCATTGTCAAATGTTGAAAATTAAGTTTTCAAGACAACTTTTCAAGTGTGACTCCCCCCCCCCTTTTTTTGCATGCCACATCCTCTTATTTATACGAAGATGTGGTTCTTAGATATTAGTCATTTTTTTGCAAATGAGCTGCCTTAAGGAAGCAGTTGGACAACTCTGCAGACTGAAGTTTTTGTGAAATATTCAGTAAAACCGCAAATGTTTTGGTCTCTGTGCCTATGTATTGTCTCCTAAAACAGCAGGTGTTGTAAATGGTGAAATTTGCTTTTTTGATCTGCAAAAATAATGTACATTTAGCATATAACTTTATAATTGGGATACTAGTAAAATCGCTTAATGGAGGACAATTGCAATGTCTGCCACTTAGTATCCTATGATTGTTTATATCTTGTGACTGCCTTTTTTAAATAAAAGCAGATTGTGAAATGTATTTTGGTTGACGTTTTATTGAAACAACATATGGACACATGTAGCGCACCGTTCATGTACAGTAATCAGTTGAACACAAAATTACAAAGGACAATTTTGTCAAACTACTGTTCATACACTATAGTACATACATATAATACACAGCACTTAGTGCAACAATACCCATAAAACTCCAATAGGTTGTCGGATGTCAGACAAAAGTTGGGCAGGTGGGATATTTTAGTCGTTGAACTGCAGCACAATGTTTAAACATCATATATACCATTTATTCTTTCTCTTACAAGCTTTTTGAATACTTTGTCACTCCGGGTTTTTCAGCAAAATTTTTACTGGTTTCTTTACAAAAGAAAGGGCAATGTTTATCATGAAGTGCAAAAAATGTCTCCCCGAAAACTCAAGTTGAATTTCCATTGTCCATATAGACACTGTAAAAAGATTGTTTCAACGTTTCTATTTTTTGTGAATAATTACCTTATCGATTTTTTTGTCTGTATACAACTACATTTTTATTTTCTTGATTTGGTTTAGTGACACCCTTTAAGACGGTTAAGACCGCTTGGTGGTCCAATACATCAGATCTCATGAGTGCACTTGTTCCCCCCCCCCAACACACACACACACACACACACACACACACACACACACACACACACACACACACACACACACACTTTCAATGACATTAGTGAACACTGCATATTGTCAATCGATGTTGCACGATTTCATCCGAAATGTTTCAATACATGAGCCTGGTTTGAAGTAAACATAATTTCGGACTCCTCAAGCTCAATTTCTTCAGCAACACATTCGATAATTGTATCTTTGACCAGCTATTTATTACAACTGTATCTATTTTTACTTTGTAAATCCCATCTATCTATCTATCTATCTATCTATCTATCTATCTATCTATCTATCTATCTATCTATCTATCTATCTATCTATCTATCTATCTATCTATCACTTCCAACACATCTGGAGGGTTCACATAAACCCGACGTCGTTACGTAACGAGCACGCAAAGAAAAAAAACGCTATTACGTAACAAGCTCTCCCCGCCCACCCC